AGTGCTTTATTTCCTGCCCAAAAACTCTCTGGATTAAGGCAGTTTAGCTTTTTTTTTCCTACGGAGTCTACAGAGGGGCATCTTTATATGCTGCAAACTTGATTTTAAAACTGGGTACAAACTTGGACGGAGGCAAGATGAAAAGCACAAATATATTTATTTGCTTTGGTGTCTGTGATACAGCCTGCTCTCGTTTTGGAGGTTGAGTTCATCAATGAAGCGAGAGTGAAGCAAGAAGATTGTCTGCATTTTCTTAGCCTGGGAGTTGGTTCTTGTGCTGAACCTTCCGTTTGTTAAAGAGACCAGGAGTATGTCCTTCTCCCTGGGAATATCTGGCAAGAGGGGGTCAGGAGGAGTGTCTTGTACTGAAAGAAGGATCTTGCTCGTGGTTTTCTGTAAGAGGGAGGGAGAGAGTTCTGTCACACAAACTCATTTGTGGCCCTGGTCACACGGAGAATTTGCCACACGAAAGGCACGAATGTTGGGCGGATTTTCGGGGCGCCATCACACTGCAACATCTGGGAAGCATAGTGCACCCGTGGCCAACCCGTGGCGTCCCGCCAAAGATGCGGAGTTTAAAAGTACTAAGGAAAGTGCACTAGTATCCAGAAAACACACTTCCTTCCCTGTAATAGAATTTACTCTTTACTCTGCATTCGGGCAAACATTTTGCTGTCTACTTGACAAACAGATGTAGGTTTTGCTGCAGCTGCTCTTTGAGTGATTCGTGTTTGGGGCAGCCAGCAAAGGCCTTCGCATTGCTGAGAGGTGGGTCCTGCCTCTGGTACTGTCCCATGTAACACCTCTTGAGCATTTAGGGTTAATATTTAAGGACTGTGAGAAGGGAATCCTTTGGATCTTGGGAAGAGCCTCTTCCGTGCTGCCGTTTAATTGACACAGTGCAGTTGGTTTGAATGGTTGTCATTCTCACTTCCTGGTTGTATGGAAGAACCGGACGAGAGTGAGTTGCTGATTCCTTTCGTTGCCCTGTAGACTGCGGATTCGGAGCTCTCCCTATTGGCTGTGTTAAGCACACACTCTTCATTAACTATTAATAGAGCGTATGGTTGTCGCTGCCGGTTACGTGGATTGAAACCTTAACACCTTTTTGGGATCTCAGCTTGTGTGCACTGACAGTGTGGTGATCTGGGAAGCACAGCCATCTTTCTGAATCATCTCGCTTCATTCTGCATCTCTTTAATGCTACAGCTCCTTCCACATTAGAAGAAGAAGAAGAGATTGGATTCATACCCCGCCCTTCAGTTAGAGTCTCAGAGCGGCTTACAAACTCCTTTCCCTTCCCCTCCCCACAACAGACACCCTGTGAGGCAGGTGGGGCTGAGAGAGCTCTGACAGAAATTGCTCTTTTTCAAGAACAGCTCTTATCAGAACTACGGCGTGCCCAAGGCCATCCAGCCAGGTGCAAGTGGAGGAGTGGGGACTCAAACCCGGTTCTCCCAGATTAGAGTCCGCGCACTTAACCACGACACCAAACTGGCTCTCTCTCTCTCTCTTTTTTACCTTTAATCCCAACTAGCCTTCATTCAAATCAAATGACAGTGGTCTTTTAGGACCAAAAGATACATCGGGAATTCCCTAAATGGCCCTAAATGAGGATGCACCCACACAACATACCATATAACAAACAATTAAGATCCTTTTGTAAAAAATTCCCCACCCCTCTATGCGGAAATGGAAAATGCTTTTGTTTGGACGAAGTTTGACATTTGGTAGTAAAAATACAGGGCAAGGATAGATCAGTTCTGTTCCTGCAATCACTGTTCATTGTGATTGAGATTTAACTTTGTCCCTTGATGTAAAATAAGAATTATCTTTCAGTACCTTGAGGACTTTTGAGCTTTCCTTGGGTATTTTTTTTTCCCCCTGAGTGGATGGCTCAGAAGGTGTGATATGCCACGGTATCTCCTTTTCAGTGGTGTCATTAGAAATGAGCAGCTGTATGTCTCTTCTGCCCTTGTGTTTTGATTAGGAATTGCCCGTGATTACTCTTCAGATGTGAATAGCTGTTCCTCTGCAAAAGGACACGCTTGATAGCAGACGATCCCTGCTTCCCGCTTGTCTGGCAGATGCCTTCTGTTAAGCAAACCGTGAAATCCTGTGTAGTTTGAGTTCCTAACTTCTGATGATGGTAGCTGTTCCATTTATTTTAACTTGTGTCTGCTCAAATCAAGAATGGGGGGGGGGGCAGCGAACTGAAGCGCTAAGGAGGTATGCGGCTCTGTAACCCCAGGGTTACTTCCCCACAGCTCCTCCCGTTGAACTCACTTCCCCTTCGGTTTGGTGTAGTGGTTAAGAGCAGCAGACTCTAATCCGGAGAACCAGGTTTCATTCCCCACTCCTCCACATGCAGCCAGCTGGTAGACTTTTGAGGCAGTCACAAGTTCTCTCAGAGCTGTTCTCCCAAGAGCAGTTTCTGTCAGAGCTCTCTCAGCCCCAACTACCTCACAGGGTGTCTGTTGTGGGGAGGGGAAGGCAAGAAGGTTGTAAGCCGCTCTGGGACTCCCGAGTGAAGGATGGGGTATAAACCCAACTCTTCTCCTCTTCTCCTTCTCCTCCTCCCCCTCTCCCTACACTGACCTCACTCCCGCTGGCAAGGGGGAAAGGAGTTCCAGCTGATACAGAGTGCGGAAATCACTGCCTCTCTTCATGCATCCATGTTACTTTGGCTGTTCAATGAGGCCCTCCCTCCATCCCTGACTGAAAGTGTAATTTTTGGTTTTAAGGCCTGAACCAGAGTGGCTGGTCAAGAGGAAAAGGCCTATGGCCTTAAGCTAGGCTTCCATCATGGACAGAGTTACTTGCATGAAGGTAACAAGGGGGTACCATTAGTACTAATTCCTGGCATTTTACAGGTCCAGAACCAGGTGAGATAAAATCAGAGCAACCCTCAGTGGGGTTCAGGTTTCTTTTTTTACAGAAGTGCTTTCTAACAAAAGCATAAAGCCATCTAAATATGGTTTCTGGGCCTCAGTCCCATATTTTATTCCTATCTATCTATCATCTATCTATCCATCCATCCATCCATCCATCCATCCATCCATCCATCCATCCATCCATCCATCTATCCATCCATCTATCCATCCATCTATCCATCCATCTATCCATCCATCTATCCATCCATCTATCCATCCATCTATCCATCCATCTATCCATCCATCTATCCATCCATCTATCCATCCATCTATCCATCCATCTATCCATCCATCTATCCATCCATCTATCCATCCATCTATCCATCCATCTATCCATCCATCTATCCATCCATCTATCCATCCATCTATCCATCCATCTATCCATCCATCTATCCATCCATCTATCCATCCATCTATCCATCCATCTATCCATCCATCTATCCATCCATCTATCCATCTATCCATCCATCTATCCATCCATCTATCCATCTATCATCCATCCATCCATCCATCCATCCATCTATCCATCCATCCATCTATCCATCATCTATCTATCATCTATCTATCTCCAGTTACTTTTATTGGTATGTGAATTTTTTTATATATCAGTGGTCTTAAATATGCTACTGCAACAGTCCAACTTAAACTCTTCAAAAAGCAGTTCTCTTCCTTATTAACTATTTCTTTCCCCCCTAGCTAAGACGTGAGAAGATTGACCTTGAAAATACACTAGAACAAGAACAAGAAGCATTAGTGAATCGCCTCTGGAAGAGAATGGATAAACTTGAAGCAGAAAAACGGTTCGTGTTCAGTCCCGTCCCCCCCCTTTTTATTGCTTACATATTGCACAACATTTCTTTAACGGAGGCTATGTGATATCAACAGTCAAATATCTAAACGTCAAAAGCAGGGTGTTGTGTTTTTTTTTTTAAATGTTCTGTTATACAAGCAGCATGCTTCTGGTTGTGAAGGTATATATTTGGAAAGCCCCTGGTACTACTACCTAGGGTAGGATACGAAATCTATCTGTAATTCAGGAACGGACTGGCCATTTAGCTTACAGGGAAATTTCCTGTTGGGGTCACTGCCTTGGAGGGCGGCTGGTGGCCAGGAGCAAGCAGAGACAAGCCCCAGCAACAGGGCCGTCACCGCAGGAGCCACTTTGCTCAGGCCTGGTATCGGCAGGGTCACTTGGCGTCAGCTCACCAGTGGCATTGCTGCCAGTTTGCGGGAGGGCACAGTAGTACAGCTGATGCCCACAGTTGGCCCCACTGAATTGAGTGTCCTCTGCAGCTCTGGCTCGTGGTATCCCAGGGGCCATTTAGTCTGGCTTGACCCATGGCCAGAGGTAGTCTGGTGTAGTGGTTAGAGTGTCGGGCTAGGGTCTGGGAGATGAGGTGTGAATCCCCCCCTCCCTTTCTAACATGGAAGCTCTCTGGGTGACCCCCGGGGCCTATCACACACTCTCCGCCTAGCCTACCTCATAGGGTGGTTGTGAAGATAAAATGGAGGAGACGGATATAAGCCACTTTAGGTACTCACTGGGGAAAAAGGCAGAGTATAAATGAAATAAAAATGTCCCCTTTCCAGTCCTGTTGGTAACCATTGAATAACTAGATGTCGTCCTTTCTGGCCTGTGACGAGCTTTGCTTTAATAATAATAAACTTGCTTTAACAGGTGGAAATTAGGTTTGACTTCTTTGGACATTCATTGATATTCCTTAGCAGCCAGTCAACTTCGCTGGAGCAATTAAGTCTCCGAGAGCCGTGGGGGGAAAAGACTATAAGATGTTTTGATGTGCTCATAGTTAATCTAGTTAAATGAATGCTTCAGGCTAAGTGGGATCTTTCTAGCCTTTACCAAAGCACAAGGAGTTAAAACGCTTGGCTGTGTGATACAGCACATCATGCGTTCTTTTTGGGGAAGTTTAAAAAAGTTGTTTTTCACGGGGAAGCGTTGGCACGCTCTTTTTAGTAGCTAAATGACAGCAAAGCTAACTTATCAAAATGTTTTCTCTTTGAACGTGACAAAATGAGAGTGAGTAGTGAGCTGGGAGGTGTGTACAGGTGACTACTGAGTAACTTATCTAACACATAACTCATTTGGAAGGTCATCCTGAGAGCACATGAAAATGCAGGATGAGTGCAGATGACCATTTACCAGACATTAACTTAGTGGTGAAGGGGCTGCGGTGGCTGAAGTGGTTAAGACGCCGAACTGCAGACCGGAAGGTCGGTAGTTCAGCAGTTCGAGACCCGAGTGCTGCATGATGGAGTGAGCTCCCATCTCTGGTCCCAGCTCCTGCCAACCTAGCAGTTCGAAAGCAAGAAATTGCAAGTAGATAAATTGGTACCGTTCTGGTGGAAAGGTAGCAGCGTTCCGTGCGCCTCGGCATCTAGTCTTGCCAGCCACATGACCACGGAAGTGTTTTTGGACAGCGCTGGCTCTTCGGCTTGGAAACGGAGATGAGCACCGAATCCCTATAGTCGGATTGGACTGGCTTTCGAGCAAGGGAAACCTTTACCTAACTTAGTGGTGAGGAGAAAGTTGCCCCTTGCATGCCTGCCCAAATTTCTGATGAGGTATAGAAGTGTGATAAAGCTATCCCCACTACTAGAGCTAATGTAGCACAGTAGCCAAGGCATGTTCAGCTCCAAATCAGAAAATCCTTTGTTTGAGTCTTGCCTGCCTCCGCCATGGACTTGTCTCGGTGATCATAAGCAAGCCACTCTCTTGCACGGGTCCCTTTTCTTCCTCAGCCTGTTATTTGTATTGTGGGTGTGGTAAGACTGACTTGCTGTGCAGAGTTTCTTAGAAGCGTTGCAGTGGAAAGCGCTTTGGAATATTCAGGGTGTTATCTATTTGTTATATTGGATTACACTCACAAAAACTACTCTATATTTTTGCCCTCAGAAATATGAACCCACCAAGAGAGAAACAAGTTTTTAAACTGTTTGAGTGTTCCCCATTGTTAAAAGTAACAGTTATGGAATTCTTGAAATCTTCTGTTTCACCAAATCACCTCTGCGAACAGTCTTGTGACCAACGTTCCCTCTAAGCTGTCGAGTCTTGTGAGCAAAAATTCTACTTTGTGAGCTACTGGCATTAAAAGTTGTGAGCGAGCAATTTGGCTACTGCATAAATTAGTCTGCTCTGGAGCCATCCTTCCTGAGCTAAGACAAAAATGTGTGGGCCAGAGGCTAAAAAACTGTGAGCTAGCTCACACTAACTCAGCTTAGAGGGAACAGTGCTTGTGACTGTCTTAAGTGTGTGTGTGTGTGTGTGTGTGGTAATGTGGCATATCCCAGTCATTTTATGATTATTCCCTGAAGTTTGTCTTGGATTTAGGTCCCAATTTCGAGCAATGCCCAGTAATGCATTATGGTTGTCCAGGGTTACATGTGATGCTCAGCTACCTGATCTTCTGTTTGGATCTTCAGGTTTACCATCTCTTTTTTGCTGGTGCTTTAGAGAATGTATCAGCCTAGGCATGAGGTACTGTGTCCTGATAAATCTAGCTGCTTCAAAAAGCCTAGTCTTCATGGTTGCAAAGGGGGATTTCAAAGTAAGATTTGTACAAGCAGTGGTTCAGAAATGAAGGAGGAGGCTGAAAGAAATCAGGTTTATTCCATTTGTTCATGTGCTTCCGTAGTAATGTGGTAATACAGTACTGGTTTTACCTAGGGTACCAAGGGAAGAATAAAATAGTGCATTTGTACAAAACAAGGAAGCCACTGGGCAGCACTTCACACACACACAGCCAAAAAGTCCAGCAATGCAACAGGTAGTACTATAGTCGCAATACTATTTAGAGCACAAGCAGGGCTATTTTTGGGCAGGAACGGACAGGAACAGAGTTCTGGCTGGCTCCCAAGTTGGCCACGCCCAGCAGGAGCTCATTAGCATAATAGGCCACACCCAACAGCAGGAACTCATTAGGATTGGCTACATTAGGGGTGTGTGGCCTAACATGCAAAGGAGTTCCTGCTACAAAAAAGCCCTGGGTTTTGACAACTTCTGGTAACATGGGGGTGTGGCCTAATGTGCTAATGAGCTGTGCTGGCAGGGGTGTGGCCTAAAATGCTAATGAGTTTCTGCTGTTGGGTGTGGCCTATTATGCTAATGAGTTCCTGCTGGGCTTTTTCTACAAAAAGAGCCCTGATGCACAAGTGAATACAAAGCGTGGTCTTGACTGTTGAGGTGACCTCCTTGTGGACCTGGCTGAGCGCCCACAAATGCCACCATCAGTTTGTTCATCTTTACGACGTAGTGCTGGAGTTGCCTGATAGGGCTGCCAATTTGGAGCAAATGAACGCGTAGCCTTTGATGACTAGCCCTTCCTTTACCTAACAGCCTTTTAAAACCAAAAATAATTCTACTCGACTTTTTTCCCTTTGCCATTGGGTTACACAGAACTACAGTGGAATACAACTGTGCGTGATTTTTGTTCCAGGAGTTAAAAGTTCCCTTTATGTTGTTGGTTTTTTTAAATTCAGAATTCTACAGGAGAAATTAGACCAACCCGTGTCGGCTCCTCCATCACCAAGGGACATATCAATGGAGATAGACTCCCCAGAGAACATGATGCGGCACATCAGGTTTCTAAAAAATGAGGTGGAGAGGTTAAAGAAACAACTGAGAGCAGCACAGTTACAACGTAAGTTCAGTTTGCCTTGTCTGCGTGCTCTCGTGTGCCTTGCAAAAGTAGGTTTTTCAGGAACCATGAGGTTTTCTGGCTGGAAATGGCAGAAGAAGGGTTTGAAAGTAAAATTCCTAAATTGTGTTCAAGATCACCTGCTATTGCTCCACTTGTGATTGGAAAAAGCTTCAATAAAACAATTACAGATTTCGAGCAATGCCCAGTAATGCATTATGGTTGTCCAGAGTTACATGTGATGCTCAGCTACCTGATCTTCTGTTTGCATCCTCAGGTTTACCATCTCTTATGCTGGTGCTTTAAAGAATATTGGCACATCTGAGGAGAACAGAAAGGGTTTTTAGTAAAATGGCATGGCATCATGATACATCTTTGCTGAAATGAAGCTATCTTCGGATTGCATTACTCTCTGTAATACAGGATTTGCTATTCAGAAGCCTTTAAAAAAAACACTTAAGATGTCTCTCTACGGCCCCGGCCACACATGCTGGAAAACGTGGGGGGGCGTGGCTATTTGCACCGTCGCATTCTGATCCACCATTATGCGATCAGACGCAACGGCGGCGCACCAGGGTTTCGTCCTTTGGTGCGCACTGCAAAGAGGACGCCGGAGGGAATAGGCGCACGCCAGCGCAATCACACCGAACGAGTCCATCTGCAGCCCGTGGCAAACCATTTGCTAGTAGATCTTTGCAGGTACTTTTAAACTGTGCATCTTCAGCGGCACGCCACAGGTTTGGCCATGGGTGTGCTAAGCTTGCAGTGTGATCGCGCCCCGAAAATCTGCCCAGCATTCATGCCTTTCGCGTGGCAAATTCTCCGTGTGACCAGGGCGTACATCAGACTTCCAGGCAACTTCAAATATTAAAGAAATCTCTTGTTTGAATTTTTTAAAATACTAAGTTTCTGACAGTGTGTCTTTTAGGGTCTTCTGTGGGTATCCCCTCCCCCCCAGATATGTTTGATAAGATCATGACTGGCACTCAGATTTCTTCCCTCTCAGCTATTCCTTCCTGCAAATGGAAATATATGCCCAAACTGAATGATTCCTGTTTTTCCACAGGGGGTCCCATTTGTCCTCGATTATTGGACTTTATAAATTAAGCAACCTGTCAGTATTCAGAAGGGTGGATTGATTGCAAATCAGCCATTTAAATCATGATTTAAAATCAGCAAGGAAAAAAGGTTGATTTAAATCATCGGTTTAAGTTGACTTGTCTGTGCAAATCATGCATTTCATGAACAAGCAGATAGAAATTAGTTGCTATAACAGTGAAACAGACTTGCTTTGCAGCTAACACCCCCCCTTTAATCCTGTTTAAGAACAGAATCTGAAACTTCAAGTTGCACAGCCCACATGACTTTTGTACTAAATGATTATATGGACTTTGATGTAATCAAGCTTGAAGGAAAGGCACAGCACAAAAGTTTTAAAATAAAATTAAAAATATTATTGTATTTTGGACATGCTGAATTTACATGGAAGATCGCTTACTTAGCACAATTGTAGAGGGATGTGCCAGATTGTGGAACAGTTCTTTGGGTTTTCTGGAAGAAAGTCCGTTCATTATTGGCGAGCACAAGTTTTCTGTAAGAGATGGGAAGTAACCCTTTATGCTGTTGGTGATAACATTATTGAAGTGATAAATGTATCATGCTTACTTCAGAATTGGGTTTTTTTTTCCTTTTCATAGAAAAATAGACTTTCAATTTAGTATGTTGATAGGGGTCCATGAATTGACTGTTAAAACACAATTCAAGAATTGCATGTTTCTCTTAAATCTATATTTTATTTTTTGACCAAGGTATACATTGCAGTGGCAATGAATTAATACAGTTTTTTTTTTAAAAATCATCCACCCTATGCCCAGGGAACTCTCCCAACTCCAGGGTTTGGTTCTGCAGATGGCACAGAGCCAAGTGTGCAAGCTCAGTGACCGCTTCCAATTTTGACTGTGCAAATAAATGGGGGGGGGGGGGCTCAGGCTTGAACAGCCTTTCAGTCTTCATCGGAAATATGGCAAACACAGGGGACATAAGACCAATGTTCCCTCTAAGCTGCGGAGTCCTGTGAGCAAAAATTTTCCTCTGTGAGCTCCTGGCATTCAAGTTGTGAGCGAGCAATTTGGCTACTGCATAAATTAGTCTGCTCTGGAGCCCTCCTTCCTGAGCTAAGGCAAAAATGTGTGAGCCGGAGGCTAAAGAACTGTGAGCTGGCTCACACTAACTCAGCTTAGAGGGAACACTGGACATAGCATCCTGTTTTGTTTTTGCTTTCAGTAATATGTGGAAGGGTCTCGACCAATGCTTCCCTCTAAGCTGTGGAGTCTTGTGAGCAAAAATTCTACTTCGTGAGCCACTGGCATTAAGGTTGTGAGCAAGCAGTTTAACCGCTGCATAAACTAGTTTGCTGTGGAGCCCTCCTTCCTGAGCGAAGAAAAAAAACGTGTGAGCCGGAGGCTAAAAGACTGTGAGCCAGCTCACACTAACTCAGCTTAGAGGGAACACTGGTCTTGACATACCTCTGTGGGAGTAGTTAGTTTTAAGAACGCGAGAGCTCCTCCACTGCTGGAAGAGTCTGTTTTTGAGAGGGCAGTGTCTCCTCCTTACTCCACTGGCAGGGCTTGTGCAAATGAACTGCACAGACTTCCATGTCTGGGCTGAAGGTGGGTCCCCCCTCTATGCCCAGCCTGCGTCCTCTGCCGTTTGGAGTAGTGGTTTGGTGTAGCGGTTAAGAGTGGCAGACTCTAATCTGGAGAACCGGGCTTGATTCCCCCACTCCTCCACATGCAGGCAACTGGGTGACCTTGAGTCAGTCACAAGTTCTCTCAGAGCTCTCTCAGTCCCACCTACCTCACAGGGTGGTGTCTGTTGTGGAGAGAGGAAGGCATTTTAATCCGCTCTGAGACTCTGAGTGAAGGGTGGGGTATAAATCCAACTCCGCTTCTTCCTCCTCCTCCTCCTTAAAAGTTTCCCTGTTTTTTTTAAATTCCAAATGCCATTGCTCTTCTCGGTCTTCTTCCTCAGCCTTATTTAGTCAGGAAGGGTTAGTCATGGCCGTGTGGGTGTCTTTTGGGCCTGGTGGAGTTTGCCCCCTTAGACACCAGCTGCTTTCAGTCTTGCTCTGGCACTTCCAGCAGCAAGAAGCACTCTGCTTTCATTAGTGCCAGCGTTTCAGCAGTTCTGGGCATGAGTAACAGTGCCAGCAGCAGCATTGCTACTCCTGCCAACCCAACCTGTCTCTGATGGCGCGCCAGGCACTGTTTTGGTATTGCTTATTGCCTCAATAAGAAGTTCCACTTAGGTGGCCCACTGCTCAGGCAAAGTGACTAGCCGAGCCCTGAAAAGAGTAACACTATCCCATTCTACTCACTGGTCTCCTTCCCCCGGCCACTGTGGATGAGAAGATCGCTCCATCTGGATCTCTGCCTTCTGAGTAAAAGAGTGCAGTTGTGAAGGAAAAGAAAG